GACCCACCAAGTTTAAAGCTTTACTAAACAAAATAGTGAAAAGGAACGCGAACACGCACAAACACACACACACAGAGACCTATTTGACCTCACCTGATGGTAGAACTGCGCAAAGCTAGGGGGATCTTAGTGAAGGTTTGCAGGACTGAAGGGCTGATTTCATGGTTTATGCGACGGAAATGGGCTGATTTGGGCGACGAAAATGGAACAGGTCAAGTTGGGCATTACTAATACAATTTAAAATGGAAGAGATTGGAGCTACTAGCGGATCTTGTACATTGGGCTTGCAAAGTTGTACTGTGAAGTTAGTGAGGAGTCGTTAACAAGTTTTGTTTCTTACATTTGAGTCCAGTTAACTAGATCGCTTTATTATTTAATCACCCCTTGTAAGTTTTTCTTATTATCTTCTAGTCCTTTGGTCTGTTGTACTGAGTAGTACCTCATCTTGAAGGCATGAATGAAAAATCTATATTTTATTTTGAAATTTTTACCTCCTATAGCAAACGTTAACACCTTATTTATTTTAAATAAATACCCTGTGTAATGTGTATACACAAGAAAATCATCGACCCAACACAGACTATAAAGTTTAATTGGCAACATCAGATGAGCACAACACATGTACAAAAGGTACTTCCAGCACAGCACGCTAATACACAGCACATAGAATAACCAAAATCAACAAGATTTCACCAGCTTTCTGTCAAACATTTTCAGATTCTATATGTAATATGTAACAACCATGTAACTTAGCAGAAAAAAGTAGCAGCATAACCTGCAGAATGCTAAATGCAAGAAATAAGATAATCAACAAGGGGAAGAAAAATATCGAAATAAATTGCAAGACCCACCAAGTTTGAAGCTTTACTAAACGAAACAGTGAAACGGAACGCGAGCACACACAAACACACACACACACACACACACACACACACACAGAGACCTATTTGACGTCACCTGCGGATGGTAGAACTGCGCGAAGCTAGAAGGATCTTAGCGAAGGTTTGCAGGACTGTCAGCGGGCAAAGACTGAAGGGCTGATTTCATGGGTTATACGACGGAAACGGGCTGATTTAGGCGACGAAAATGGAACGGGTCAAGTTGGGCATTGCTGATACAATTTAAAATGGAAGAGATTGGAGCTACCCTCATTTTGAAGGCATGAATGAAAAATCTATATTTTATTTTCCTTAGTTCCTTTTCTTCTTAGTTTTAGCTTAGCCCTAGTTAACTTCTTCTTCTTTGAAATTCAATATTTGTATCACATAGCCAACTAATCAGTCCAATTTTAAAAAATATTTGAAGTTTAGTCAATTTTGACAAATTTTAAACCGTATGTTCGGTTGCTTCTTTTCTCTTCTTGTTTTCTTCATGCCTTTGGGTTTGAAATTTCAAATTACCTGGCCAAACTTTATACCTAAAGGTTTGAAGTTTTTTTTTTTTGAGTAAGTCTAAGTAGAAATGGCGCGGGGTAGCCACTTTTTAAAGTGGTATTTACTTTTTATCTAGCATTTTTAATGCTGAGCAAAAATAGCCACTACTCTATTAAAATTAATATGAAAAGACGAAGTTACCCTTTCTTCTATCTCTTTTCCATCCCAAACCCTCTATCAAAATTTCAAAACCCTTTCTCCTGATCAAAATTTCCCAAACTCGTTACTTCTCTTCCCCATGCAGGCAAACCACTTCCTCGTTGCAGACCACTTCTCTATCTTTATTTCTTTTTCTTTTTCTTTTGGTTGGTTAGGTTCTTGTTGTCTTTTAGGCTTTGGGTTTTAATTAATCTGATAGTTATTATCTGTTATATGTCGTGGTTTTGACTATACTGTTTCCATTTAGTTGATGGGACCCTTTACCATTTTATGGAATTGAATTTTATTGTGTTAAGGACATGTAGTCCTGAAGTCCTAAAGTTAAGTTAAAAAGTTAAGGACATGGTCCTGAACTTAGAGTTTCAAGTTCAAAAGTTAAGGAAATGTAGTCCTGAAGTCCTAAAGTTAAGTTCAATAGTTAAGGCCACAAGTTCAAAAGTTAAGGACAGGCAGTCTTTAACTTACAGTTACAAGTTCTAAAGTTAAGGACATGCAGTCCTTAACTTTTAGTTACAAGTTCAAAAGTTAAGGACAGACAGTCCTTAACTTACAGTTACAAGTTCAAAAGTTAAGGACAATAGGTCCTTAACTTTGATTTCCAAGTTCAAAAGTTAAGGACAGACAGTCCTTAACTTACAGTTACACGTTCAAAAGTTAAGGATAAGCAGTCCTCAACTTACAGTTACAAGTTCAAAAGTTAAGGACAATAGGTCCTTAACTTTGACTTACAAGTTCAAAAGTTAAGGACGCTTGGTCTTGAAGTTTGAGTTCCAAGTTCAAAGGTTAAGGACATGTAGCCTTGAAGTCCTGAACTTAGAGTTCCAAGTTCAAAAGTTAAGGACATGTAGTCCTGAAGTCCTGAACTTAGAGTTACAGGTTCAAAAGTAAAGGACATGTAGTTTTGAAGTCCTGAACTTAGAGTTCCAAGTTCAAAAGTTAAGGACACGTAGTCCTGAAGTCCTGAAGTTAAGGACATGAGCAGAAGGGTATTTTCGTCCGAACAATTAAAGTTTATTAAAGCAGTGGCTAAAGACTAAAGAGATTTTAAATGGTGGCTTAAAAGTAAATACATGTGTTATTAGTGGTCAACCGTGCACTTCCCCCTAAGTCTAAAGGTTTGAAGTTTGACCTGCCAGCCCGTTTGGACATAAGAAATTTTTCTCTTTTTTCCAAATTTTTTTTTTACTTTCTGTTGAAATCAGCTTTTGTTCATAAAGTTTCCAAGTTTTCACTTAAAGATGCATTTTGAAAATTCCCGAAAATTTAAAAAACTCCAAAAACTTATTTTTCAAAATTTTGACTCAAATCACTCACAAAACTTTAAAACAACCTAAAATTATATTCATGTCCAAACACAACTCAAAATTTCAAATACCATTTTCACTTGAAAAAAAATTTCACCCTTTTTTCGAATTTCACAATTCTTATGTCCAAACGCGCACTAAAACTTTATATGTTCGAGTATGAAGTTATGCTCTACCGGAAAGTTTAAAATGCACAAATAGACGTTTTTGAGGTCTATAAATTTAGCTTTCGCAGTTCACAATTCAAACCCCACCATTTGAACTCGGGAAACTTGAGAGAAACCTCATAAATAAAGGTCTAAAGTTTAATCATGAGGTAGCTACATCTTGTAAACTTCAGCTATTTTTTAAATAACTGTTCTAAAATTAGCTAGTTGTGCACCTGACCTTGTAATACGACAATGGGTTGATTGATTTTGGGTTAGATTTGTAGAAATGATACCAAAGTAGTCACTTTAAAGGGCTGCTATTTAGAAAAGAGCCAATGCGTCCTGAATTTAACTTTTCAGTTCGATTTTTCTGGATAAAAGTATTCTGAATTGTCCTGAAAGTTAAAAAATTTCCTCCGATCCACAAAAGATGACCATTGTACCTTTTTATTTTGACCCAAAATAAATATCCATTTACATAATCAAGAAGAAATTACTTTTATTTTTCCAAAATTTACTTTTATTTTTCCAAAATTTGCTCTTATTTACGTATTACAATATGTCAAGGTAATAATTAATTAAGATTAATTTAGTGACTACATCTTTTTTTCTCTAGGAGTTCGTATTTCATTAATGGGTGTGCCAAAGATAAAATGGTCATTTGTCACTTATTATGGACCAGGAGTACTAGTTAATCTCTAAATAGCGTAAAAATTGCACGGGGCGCCCTATTTCGGCGCCCCTTTTTAACCTGTAGCCGCTTTGTCTTTCTGTTTGCACCCGTACCCACTTTTTAAAAAACTTCAGCTTCCCTTTCTCCTCCCCTTCTCCTTCTTCATTTTCTCATTGTCTGGAAACACAACTCCGTGAGGACTGAGGAATGATATGGTCATACCATTGATCAGAAAAAGGCACCAATTTTTATCCAACAAAAAAACAGCAACACGAAAATCAAATATGTTGTAATATAGATAAAACATAGAAACCGTAAAGAAAATGGAGAAACTGATCATCAGCGATCAGAGATTCAAATGTTAAAAAGAAAAGTTTTCGAAAACGAAATAACATAACAACAAAGCATTTATTTTGCAATAAAAACAGAACGCAAAATCGGATGCATTAGATGATCACAATACAGTTAATTAGATGTAACTGTATCTTCTTGGTGTCCTGAGCTGAAGTTAATTAGACAAAAACTTCAGCTCTATAGCTGAAGTTTTTCAGTTACAACACAAAAACTTTAGCTCTAGAGCTGAAGTTTTCTATTACAACATAAAAACTTCAGCTCTAGAGCTGAAGTTTTTCAGTTACAACACAAAAACTTCAGCTACAACACAAAAACTTCAGCTCTAGAGCTGAAGTTTTCTAGTTACAACATAGAAACTTCAGAGCTGAAGTTTTCCGGTTACAAAGACAAAAACTTCAGCTCTAGAGCTGAAGTTTCCCGGTTACTAAACAAAAACTTATAAAATAAAACTTCAGCTCTAGAGCTGAAGTTTTTATTTTATAACTGGCAAACTTCAGCTCTAGAGCTGAAGTTTCCCGATTACAAAGACAAAAACTTCAGCCCGGTTACTAAACAAAAACTTATAAAATAAAACTTCAGCTCTAGAGCTGAAGTTCGCGAGTTACAAAACAAAAACTTGAGCTCTAGAGCTGAACTTCAGGCCCGGCTACTAAAATGCTGAAGTTTTGTGTGATTGCCTTTGCTACTTCAGCCCCGTGTGCTGAAGTTATGCGAAAAAGCGAGTACGCTTGCAATTTTTTTTGCAAAGCGGCATAGGTTAAAATGTGGCACAAAAAGCGGGTATAGATACAAATGCACCCTAAATAGCATCCCTCAAAATGACTATATGTGCACTTGACCCGATAGATTTGACCCCAATAGAATTCGAACTCGTACTCCAGTTCATGATTCAGCAATCAAAATCTCCAAACATACTACTAACACCTCCTTTTGGGAAAAACATCTGAATATTACAGTAGCTATTAAAGACAATGAAATGATGCATCAAACAACAAACTGTAATTTTGAAATCAACATCATTATAATTTCCAATGTCTGCCTCAAGCAAGTTTTTAAAAGCAAAATCTAGGTTCTTCAACTATGCAAACAACAAAATCCGTAAGTAGACAACAAACTTCCTAAAATAAGCTCAAGGGAAACCGGTGAAGGGAATACATTATGCAGAGAGACCAATATTTTCTTCTAATCGAAAAGACTGAAGCCCATGTCCTGCAAAAGAAGACCAATATTTTCTTCTAATCGAAAAGACTGAAGCCCATGTCCTGCAAAAGAAGACCAGAAAACAATGTTAACAGACGCAAAGGACATTTAAAGAAGATGTAGCCAACACAATGTACAATAAGAGGGACGGGTTATCTAAAATGGGAGACATACATCGTCGGACTCCTCTTTCTCCTCCTTTTTTTCTTCCTTCTTCTCCTCAGCAGGGGCTGCAGCAGCTCCTCCACCAGTAGGTGCAGCAACTGCAACAGCACCACCACCACCAGCAGGTACTGAAGCCAACTTTTCTCTGCCGGCAGCAATCAGCTCAGTGATGTCTTTTCCCTCAACTTGAGACAAGAGCAGTTCGATTCTGTCATCATCAGCCTCAGCACCAACTGCAGAGAATGTGGAACCCCAAACATGAGTGTAACACAAACAAGAAGCCACAAGAAGCATGTACATAATAGTTATTGATAATAAGGTTACGGCTTCATCTGTTTAAGACATCTCAAAGAAGTCTGCAGCGTAAATCAATTATTATGCTTTCCTCTATACAGGAAACCAAAATTACACAGTATTCCTACTGCATATACCTATGAGAGGTACACCATAACACTAAAATCTCACTATTGCAGATTAGTAGCAATCAATAACACTATGCTCACTTCTCACCAAATAAAAAAATATAACAGAAACATACGAAATGATACAGGGAACTAGCAACACAGTTTCTAGTCAATAAACCTAGTCTATCTTGTACTTCAACAGCCTGCCGAGCATGGAGTAAATGTCAACTTCAAAAATATTTGCAAATTTGAATCATTTTCTACTACAAATTTTAACATTATTTTAAATCTTTTCAATTACAAAATTTCATGATTCTAGTTTTTTTGTAATATTATTATAATAACATGTAGATGCCCCGGAGTTCTCCAACCACAAAGAGAAAATGGTATACGGACAGGGATATATATAAAGAGCATCACACTCACTTTCGCTTCAAGGGAACGAGTCGGTCAAAAACTAATGAATTTTGCCAACCAGATAGTAAAGCATTCTAGTTTTTTCATAATTCTTAATAAGAAAATTTTATTTCAAAAAGAAGAAGAAAACAATGTCAATAAAATTTAAATGTGTTAATCCTCCTACTTTAAAACCCCCCTCTCTTTCGTCCAGGATGGATGGCATACTCTTCCCATAAAGTCCAAGTATATCCCGGGGCTTATGATATTATCCGCATGTAACAAAGCTTAATCCCTAGTTTTATAAGCCCCGAAAATTAAAGAAATGCCATAAGTTATGTTACTCCATTACCCATGTTAGATGATTCTAGGCACATAAATATATTAAACAAAAAATTTAGGTGCATTTGCACCTAAATGCCATCATTTTCTCATTGTGCATTTGGACATTAATTCCTTTAAGAAAAAGGTATATGCAAAGCCCATCACCCAAACCCCTTACCGATGTGTCCTCTAGTGAGCGTCTTTAAATACACGACAACAAACACAAACTCTCAATCCCAAACTAATTGGAATTGGCTATATGATTCAATAACATACACTCCATCACTCAATTAATACTAATTTCATTTCAGTACCCCATAATTTATCTTTTAGTACTATTTGCTCCACTATACTCGTATAATATCTCCATATTTTAGTAACCAAAAATTAGCTATTTCCAGCTCCAAAAACTCAGTGAATAATGGATCTGTCCCAACCCTTCTCCACCTAAATACCACTATTCATTTTTCTTCAAGCAGGAAATTCCCGAGAGCTAGTCGCGCAGCGACAGGATTCTAACCGTTAGACCGAGACATGCGCTTGGCCCATACATAACCAGCGTAAGCTCCAAAGCCATGAAATACAACTACCACACGTCCAATGTTGCACTACCTTTATCCTAAACTAAAAACCCAGGGCATCCAACTCTTTTCCTAATTAAACAATCAATTTTGTTTTAGAAAAAAAACTATTTACACTGCAAATAATATCTATATCTATAAAATCAAAAAGAGTAAGAGGGTAAAAAGTTTTTTTTTTACCGCAACCAAGGATGCTTTTCAAGTCTTTAGCTGAAGGTGATGCATTGCCACCCAAAACGGCCAACAAATAAGCTGCAATTACCTTCATTTTTTCCTCTCTGTATCAAAATAATCTACACAACTCAAACAGAAAATATTTAGATACAAAAATTGAAACACATAAATAGAAACAGAGAAGAAGAAATATGAAGAGAGAAATTACTTGTAAAAGCTATGAAAGCCTTCTTCTTCAGTGGTCGTTTTAGGGACTGCGTCTAGGGTTTCTTACTGGCGAAATGATGCGCATTTATATATATGATTAGGGTTTTTTAGGAGGTCCGTTGGTATTGTGGAGTTTACATTAATACCCTTGCTTATTCTTCAGATTTTCTAGATTGACCTTAGCTAAAAGTTGTGATATTTAAAGTTTACAAAATTATCAAGTTTATATATTTCCGGCGTTTCAATCGATATTGGCATAATTGGAGAAGGCACAAATTTAAAAAAAGAAATAAATATATATTTAAAATTTATGATCTTAAATGTATCAAAATATTTGTGTAATTATAGGATTTAAAATTTGTAATTCTAGAAATAGCAAAATAATTGAGGTCGCAGATCCACCCCCCTCCCGCATACTTGTTCAATCGAGCTCGCTGCACAGGACTTGTCTAGTGGGTTTTTACCTCTCTAATATGATTTGTGACTATTGTATTTAGGTGACGATAAAATCTTGTCAATAAATGTAAAATAAGAAAGTCGAGTTAAAGGGCAGCCAGGCACTAAGATCCCACTATGTACGAAATCCGGAGAGGACCGAACCACAAAGATCTATCGTACGCAGCCTTTCCCTGAAAAATGTTGTTTCCAGGTAGGGATGACAAAGTGGTTAAAAGAAAACATTTAACCACCCATATTATTCACTAAAAAATAGGTTGGATAATGAACTTTTTAAAAACTGGTCAAATATGAGTAAGAACCATATTATCCATTTAGAAAATGAATAACCAATGAGTAACCAATGAATAACCAATGTGTCTAACCAATGAAACTAAAAATTCTCCCAAAAGTGATCATATACAAGAATCATGGATATTACCCATATTATTCGCCGATTAATCCATTTTTTATCCGTATTAAATATGAATCGGATCGGATAATTAATCCGTTTTTTTATTAACCATTTTTCACCCGAACCATATCCGGCCACCCACCCCCCCACCTTGCCACTCCTATTTCCAGGTCAAAAGTCGAGTTAAATTATTTTGAACTTAAAATATACAATTATTTTTCGACAGACTAATAAAGAAATAGTTATTCATTTTTTGAGCAGGGAGGAGTACTTTCATCTTCGTCTGTTTTGTCATGAAAAGAAAATGGTAAAAACTAACTTGTCGCATGGTCTGTCATTTTATTTTTTTTGTTTATAAAGATGAACTTTGGATAAAATTATGGGATGACTATTTACTCCTTTATGCACAAAACAGAATGGTGTTATGTTTATTTAAACCAACCTTATCCTCTACAAAATTAAGCTTATGTATTATAGATTGTGTCCTTGTGCCGAGGGCCGATACTTTCGGCCCTGGCCCTATCTTTATAAAATAAGGGTAACGTCTTCGTACACACTACCCACCACATACAGAGCCACCACATACAGAGGATAAACCAAGAAATAGCCATATCCACATAGCAGCAGCCAAGATTATAACATCAATATAAACATCACTTCAGAGAAAAGGAGAAAAATATTGTTCAAACTTAGTACATTACTACAAAGATCATACTTGGTTGAAGTAAAAAAAAAGAGCAGAAGATCAACATCTACCACATAAGAAAAGTATGAACAACATACACAAAACACAGTCATTGCCTTCCTAACTACACCAAAACATACTGCTACCGACGTCCGTTGCGAATACAGGAGAATAGGCAAAATATGGATGTACATCAATTTTCCGCTCCATTTTCCTTCATTGCTATGCTTCATCTGTATCATATACAACACCCTGCTCGTCGAATTTTACTGCCACCAAGTACCTTATGCTCACCTAGACAGACAAGAACCATGCAATATGTCAATACCACCGAGCGAATTCAAAAAATGAAAAAAATCAGCATGCCAAGAAGTCTAGAGTATTCAACATCTAACATAATATATAACAAAACAAAATTCAACTCTATGTACACAACAAAAATTCCGACACATGTTCTGTCGGAAGCGGACCCAAGATTTGAAGGTCGGGGTGCATTGCTTTCGACCAAAATCTACTTTATATAGGGTATTCATGAAATTTTGTCTAACTTTCCGAGTGCTGGTGACCTTATGACCAAAATCTACTTTGTGCATACGGTATTCATGAAAATTTTGTCGAATTTTACGGGTGCGTGACCTCTCACTTGATAACATAGGTCCACGGTCCGCCTCTGTGTCAGGTGACCCCCTTCCGCCCCCTAATGCTCCGCCCATGCTTCAAACCACATATTAAACCTATTGTAGTAGGTTACATGCTACTTCTACACCGATGTATAGAAGTTGAACTCCCAAAAATGTATATAAAGTACCTGTTGTGGATCATAGACGGCGTATTCGTTGTACTCGAGGACACTATCCTTGTATTCTGATGGAATCAGCCTACCACAAGGTACTTTAATATCATCCTTCCAAACAAAATGCTCTTTCTCATCAGTTTTCTTCCTTCCAAGTCCTTTTACTCCAATTTTCTTCTCTTCCAATGCTTTAGTATCCTGCTTATAATACAAATCACACAATCAGATCAAATACAAAATAAAACTTTTCTGAGTCGTTTTCTTTAATATTATGTTTACTACCTCAGGAGGACTAGAGAACTCTTTAATTTCTTCTCCTAGTGAAGCAACAGCTAATACCAAGAAACCTTCTGGCCTGTCTATAGCTGTGAAACCATATCTTGCCGCTTCTGCTGCAGCATCCGAACAAACAACAGCCCTTCCAAACTGCACACATATATAGCGGTGAGTGCAAATGCATGGTAACGGTACCATTTCCTTTTACGAAGACAATATCGTACCATGTATCCTGATACAGGAAGTGAACAAACTGAAGGTAGGAAACCTTTCTGCAAGTGCCTCAAAAGATTTGAACTCCTCGTACCTGATCGACAATAACATTCATCGTCGTGAACACAACCATCAATCCAGAATTATTTATATGCCATAGAAAATACTTACCACACCAGAGAAGAACTTTGTTTGGTATTTTCTTGATGTCATCAAGAGAAGGGCAAGCACTAACTTCAACAGAAAATATATTCTCAACTGAGACCCCATAGCTCTGGTGAACGTGCAATTCTTTTCAGTTCAGATCAGAGTGGAAATTCAAACTTTGAAAGAGATGATTGGAGGGAGAATAAATCTTACCATATCTCCGACTCTGATCGGTTCGTAAGTTTTCTCTAGGTAGTTCACTATCATTTTGTAGTCATCTGAGTCTTTCTCTAAAGGAGAAACAAAACAGCCGAGTTTGTTGTAACGCTCGAAGAGAGGATCATCAAGTGTAGAGCCAGACATGTCTTCAATAATGCGTGATGCAAAATTGACGTCCCGAATAGTTTCATAGGCAGATGCAGCCTTGATAATTTGCAGACAGTAAGATGAACACATTAATATCCAATGCTAAAGATTTGAAGGAAAAAAAAAAGAAACAGAGAAATGACTCTTACATGCTCGGCGAGATCGGTGTAGTCCCTGAAAGTAAAAGGCCTAATAGATGGCATGAGAGTAAACCATCTTTGGCTGAACTCATACCAAACACACTCTGCTGCCTGTCCTGTTTCCTTCATCGATTTTACTTTCTCCACAAAGTACAATAGAGTTTCTTCACCTGTAGAGCAAAAGTAAATAAACCTCGAAACGTTTGTTACCTGTAAACAATGCACTATGCATAGAAAGACTTACATCTTTTCAAATGAAGATCAGTAAGCATTCCGATGGGAACTTCGGGTGAATCATGTCCCAGCTCCATTAAAGCATACCTTCATCCGGCATATATACAACACTTAAGGTTTGTTTCAGATGCTCAAGGAAAAGAGAGAAATCGTCACCAGTTTGAACGGCGTAATACCTGTAGATCTCCTGACTGCAAAGGACTTTCACGAAATTTGCTACCATCGGATCAAGCTTACTATGTGCAGCAGCGGAACCGAGTTGCCTTAGGCCGAGCGCTCCATGCCTAACCTCTACTCCGTCATCCTACAGAATTCCAAAGCGGCAATTATTAACCATATATATGCCTTAATGTTTGGCAAACACTATGTAATTGTTTCCTGAAAACAAAGAACTTAAAGAGTGACGTACGACATCGATAGGGAAAAACTTGTGATGTTTCTTCTGAATCTTTTTTTCCCTTTCCCAGGATTCAAACTCATTTCCGGTTAGCTCTTCGAAGAGCCTAGCAAACTCCTGAATCGCATCGTCGACATCTTCCCATTCCTCTAGCTTGTCGTCTGCTCTTATGCTATCACCAATTCTGCCCTTTTTACAGTACATGTGCAAACGATTCTCCGGCGACATGATAAGTTGCATAATACAGAAACTGCATCAATTTAAATAATCACTTCATCAGCAACTGCGGCATCTATTAGGGACTTAAAAAACAGGAGAACTTATGAGCATTACTCATTGATTTGGTTTTTTTGGTTGCAAACAGACAGTGCGCAATTATACAGTAATCCATCTTTCTCCAATATTCTTGCGCCTTCATCCTGCATCTTAGTGTCTTTGTGCACCCCTCTCTTTCCAAAAACTTTTAGCTACAATAAACAAAAGACAATAGTTGAAACAAACCTCAAATGTAAGTAGCAAATGTGAAAAGGAGGAAGCATACATCAGCTGTAATAGTCTCGAGCGCCTCCGCACTTGGATCCATCTTATCAAGTGAAATACCTCTACCTTCTACAGCAATGTCACTGGCGATGTCATACGCATCTAAAGGCTGAGCTTGCTCCTTTTCAATACTATCACTCAACCAAGCCTCCCTCACTACCGGTATACTCCTCTCCCTGAGGGACAATAATACCTCAGATCAGAGGTGGATGCAACATAAACTCGACGAGCTCAACCGAACCCAATAATGTCTTACACATAGCATAGATAACTATATGTAAACACTGAAAACCTAACAAATAAGTACTACTCCCTCAATTTGACTGGGCACGGGGTTTTAAGAAACAATGAAATACTTTTGAAACTTGTGGTTTAAAACAATCCACATATATTTGTGTGACTACATTAAGGGTAAAATGTGAAGCTTGAAATTACATTATTTCCAAATTTAGACAAGGGTCATTT